CCTCTAATAGACAACTCTTGAAGATATCTATGTGGTTCAAGGCTCTCGAGAACCACCCCTTCCACATCAGACTCGTTATTAGACCGCTCAGTATCCCAATCTAATGTTAACCTCTCCAAGTAGTTTTTTTCAATCAGTTTTGCTTTGGTTGCTTCTTCTTTGGTGTGTATATTCTCAAGGTTATACATGCCAAACTCCCTTAGTTCGGTCAAATGCTCTAGGTTCTCTGGCTCAAATCCTTCACTTTCTTTATTGACTTTAAATACCTTCAACTCTTCTAAGAGTGTAAGTTTCCCCACATTATAAATATGAGAATGAAGCTCATCACTTGGGGTATAAAAACGACGCAATTTTGCAAGGTTGCTCAAGTCTTTCGGCAAATCACAACAGCCATGCCACCATCCAAGATCTAGAATCCTTAAATGATAGAACTTAGAAATGGCAAGTGGTATCTCCCTCGTATACTTTGTCCCCAGACAAAGGTACCGTAGGTGGACAAGTGCTGAATTGTTAGGTAATATGGACCCCACAAAAGACGGCATGTCAACCAAACGGATAAAGCGAAGGGCATTAGCTTCCTTGAACAAATAATCCAAAATTTGGGCAAAGCTTTCATCCATTTCTCCAAATAACATCAAAGTATGCAATTCTTTAACCTTCAATCCTGTCTTCAACTTTCTCAATTGGCTCTTAAAGCTTTCATCAGACATTGTATGATCATCATCAATGATTATAGACAAGTGAAGAATGGATGGCTTAATTTCTACTGACCCCACATTAGAATGATGTACAGTAAGACATTCATGAGACCCAACCTTTAGTGCTAAATCATGTAGCAGGTCATGCATTACATAACGCACACGGCCATTAGTTTCCTCTTCTTTGAAAAATCCATGTGTGACCAGATCATTCAAATTCATTAAACCTACATCTTCCAATGTTTGATTCTGAGTACCAGGTTGTAAAATATCTAGTCCTATCCACAAATTGATTAGCTCAGTGGTACTATACTCGTGATCTTCTGGAAATAGTGCAGAATAGAAGAAACATTGTTGTTGATGAAAAGAAAGATAGTCATAGCTAAGCTTCAGAGCAGGCATAATGTCATTGGTACCGGTCCGTCTCTCCCATTCTTTGCTTTCTAAAACTCTTCTCCAATGATGCAAATTAAGGCACTTTCTCAGTAATGTACCAACAGTTTTTGCAGCAAGAGGGGAGCCTTTCAGTTTTTCCATTATCAGTGTCAAGCAAAAAATTATGATCACTTCTAAAGGGCTCGTCAGCAAAGATAAATCTAAGGAATAACTTTCTAAATTGTTCGGATTCTAATCCTTCCAACTCTATATGATCAGTTGTTTCAACCATCTTTGCTATTATTGGAAACCGAGTTGTGAGTAGGATCATGCTACCTTTTTCTTGTGATGTTTTGAGTGGCAGCAATAACCTTTTCCAATCATCCTCGTCGCTAAACTCCCATATATCATCCAGCACAAGCAAAAACCTTTTAGATCTTAATCTCTGCTCAATCAGCTCTTCAACTCTGCCATATTTTTCCCCTTTAACATGAGGGATGTATGTTTCGATCTCTTCCAAAAGCTTATTCAAATTGAATTTGAGTGACACGCATACCCAAATAACGACTTGAAAGTGATTTCTAACTTGTTGGTTTCTATATGTGTGTTGTATCAGAGTTGTCTTCCCTATCCCCCCTGGACCGACAATCGGAAGCACGGTTAGATCCTTGCTCTGGTATTTACCCTTGGTCATGTCATGCATGATGCTATTCATGATACGGTCCCTCCCATACAGCTTTGGCTCTATGCTCTGGCCGGTGGTGATGGGACGACTCTTGGCAATATCTGGGACAGTCATACGGCCACAACTCTGCAGAACCTTGGTAACCTCTGTACGCACAGGCTGCAGTTGCTCTATGATGCGCTTCATTCTTTCAGAGACATCAACCCTATTAAACCCCGGCATTGGTGTTGCTCTCTGTGGCGCGCCGGAGTGAGTTGGCTGGCCAGAATGATCATCACGAACATGCGGCAAATATGAGCAAGGGAGGAGTTTACCGAGCTTGAGCATGCACCCGCCGTCCTCATCAACTTGATTGGTGCTCGGCGTTGAGGAAGAATTACCGTGATACCTCTGCCTACTACCACATGGCCAAATGCAACAGCTGACCTGTCGTCCGGCACCTTCCACTTCCCCAGGTTCACCAGGACAACAGGCAGCAGATGAGCACGCGGATAGACCAAGCACAGCTTTGGCAGTGTAGAGAGATAGGTTATGGGCTGTGCAATCGCAATACATTGATCGGTGCACCAGGCACGTATATATAAGTACAGAGGTGGGCCACAACCTCAACTATACAAGGAAACAGGAGGTGGGCCCTACACGCACATATACACGTACACAATATACTCAACACCCCCCCGCAGTCGAAGCGGCGCCAGTGACGCAGAGACTGGAACGGAACTCCTCAAAGGTGGAAGTCGGCAGTCCTTTCGTCATCACATCAGCGAACTGCTGAGCGGTCGGCACATGGAGAACCCGCATGCGTCCAATAGCCACCTGCTCACAAAGTGAATGTCCAGCTCGATGTGTTTAGTCCGGCGATGATGAACGGGGTTGGCGGAGAGGTACACCGCAGAGACGTTGTCGCAGTAGACAACCGTAGCCTGGGAGACATCGTGATGTAGCTCTTGAAGTAACTGTCGAAGCCAGGTGCACTCGGCGACAGCGTTGGCCACAGCTCGGTACTCAGCCTCCGCGCTAGAGCGCGAAACCGTGGGTTGTCGCTTGGACGACCACGAGACGAGAGAAGGACCGAGGTAGACGCAGTAGCCAGAGGTGGACCGACGAGTATCCGGACAGCCGGCCCAGTCTGCATCGGAGTAAGCCACCATCTCCAGAGAAGTGGACGTCGTGAGTGTCAACCCAAGGGACATCGTGCCGCGGATGTAGCGAAGGATCCGCTTCACGAGAGTCCAGTGAGAGTCACGAGGGGCGTGCATGTGGAGACACACCTGCTGAACAGCATACTGAAGATCCGGGCGGGTGAGTGTCAAGTACTGTAGAGCGCCGACAATAGACCGGTAGAATGGAGCATCCGACGCAGGCGAACCCTCGAGAGCAGAAACCTTGGCCTTCGTGTCAACAGGAGTAGCAACAGGATGGCAGTTGAGCATGCCAGCGCGCTCAAGAAGCTCATGGGCATACTTCTGTTGATGAAGAAAGAAACTGTCCGGACGCCGAACGACCTTAATGCCAAGGAAATAATGTAGAGTACCTAGGTCCTTGATAGCAAACTCGTCACGCAGCCGGAGAGTAATCTGCTGGAGAACGGCTGCAGAGGAGGCTGTCAGGATGATGTCGTCGACGTAAAGCAGCAAATATGCAGTCGTGTCACTGTGGCGATAGACAAACAGTGAGGCGTTCGAGCGAGTGACGCTGAAGCCCAGTGTCTAAAGAAACCCGGCGATCCGCTGGTACCAGGCGCGGGGGGCCTGCTTGAGCCCATAGAGAGAGCGCGACAGCAGGCACACATGGCCGGGAAATGAAGCATCGACGAAGCCGGTGGGTTGCTCACAAAACACCTGCTCCTCAAGATGGCCGTGGAGAAAGGCGTTGGAGACATCCATCTGGTGAACAGGCCAGCCGCGAGAGACGGCGAGCTGGAGGACAGTGCGGATCGTGCCCGGTTTGACAACCGGGGCGAACGTCTCCGTGAAATCAACTCCAGCGCGCTGGCGGAAACCGCGGACCACCCAGCGAGCCTTGTAGCGCTCAAGTGAACCGTCTGAGCGGGTCTTATGGCGAAAAACCCACTTGCCGGTGATGACGTTGGCACGAGGAGGCCGGGGAACCAGGGTCCAGGTGCGGTTCCGTTGGAGAGCGTCGTCGTCGTCGTTCACCACGGTGTGGAAGATGTCGCTGGAGATGGTGAGATAGAACCAACGGATGATGGTGGCGTCGAGGATCATCCACTCCTCGTGGTGGATCATGAGCGCGGAGTCCACGGTGCCGTCCACGTGGCCGTGAAGGAGGTACTCACGGAACACGAGCGAAAAGTACCGCTTCCACGCGGAGTAGGAGGCGGTGGTGTGGTCAAGCTTGACCGGGACGCGCTCATGGATGTTGAGATCGCGGACGAGGGTGACATCGGGACCAGCGAACGGGTTGGAGACGGTGGAGGAGGAGGAGCTCATGGTGGCAGGGAGGGATGAGGCGCGGCGCGGGTTGGGAGGAGGGAGAGAGG